CCACAGCATTGTACCTCCTAATGCATTCCAAATATGTAAGAAATGCATGGCTAGAGAACTGGCAAACTGGAGAGAAGTACAGCAGGTAATGCTATGTGAGGTGAGCTGACACTTCTTACTGCTTCAAATTTTGCCATACTTCAACTTTTTTTTGTGCGGAGCATCAGCTTTCCTAAACAATTTGAAATGTCTCTTAAAAAATAATCCAGCCGTTTTTGAGAAAAAGATGAATGAAAATCAGTACTTTCTCCTAAAAGTTTCATCACCTTTTACCCAGTAATGCCAGGTAGGAAGATCTGTGCTCCTATGGAAGGACTTTGCAGGTGAGACGTGGGACCCATCCTAGCCTTCTGTCCTTTGCTACTGATGGGTCCCTCTGGCTTTCTTCCAAGTCTGGGAAGAAATGCCATTTTGATATGCTCATTATTGCCTTGCTGGACTATGGAAAAGAAATTACTCTAAATATTTGTCCTTATTATTTCTCAAACCTCCACCACTCCTATGCTGACCTACCAACACAATGCCACACTGGAGGGCAACTAAACACACTCCAGCCCTCGAGGAGAAGCTGCAGGAGAGTGAGTGCGTGCACGATGAAACAACAGCTACCTTAATCCTGGCCTTGTGTAGCTTGAGACCTCTATGTCTTGCAAGTCCCAAATGGTCTGGGGACCTCCATCACCTGTGTCCTAGGTGTGAGGCCCAGGTGAGCAGCACAGCACCTACCTGCACAGCTGGGCAGGGTCGCGTTGCGCTTGGGCTGAGCCTTGCCCTGATGGATGGGAACACCACAGCTCAGTGTGTAGCTGTTCTCTGAATCTGAGGGGCAGAGCACAGAGTCAGCACATGGGGCAACAGCCTCACAAAGCATCCTGTCCCATGAATGTTTGGTGCTTAAGCAAACTTATTAATGTGGCCAAGTAAGGGAGACATTTTAAGGATTTTAAATGGCTGAAATAATTTGCCAAAGGTTACTGCTTCACAGTGTTGATTAAAAGCTTTGCTTTGTTTCTTCCAGCGCTGAAATGTTTTATTTTATCAATGATTTGGCACAAGGTTAGCTGTACATAACTCCATGGTGCACAAGTAGAAAATATTTTGTGTTAGTCCGTGGCAGAGTCTTTCTGCTTTGATCATCCCTATAATTTAAAAAATAAACCACATACTTTCATAATAATTTTAGCTTCAGGCTCTGACAAAATTTATTGTCAGAAACAACAAAAAACACACAGAGAACCATAACAGGGTTCACATATTGCACAGATTAAACTGTATTGGTGCTTACAATTAGATAAATGAAGAGTTCCAGTAATCTCTGCTAAACTGAAAATAAGGAGTGAATGGCTCTGCTGCATCTAATGCCAGGACTAACACAAAAAGTAGAGACACTTGAAAATAATCCTGTGCCAGAACATCTGTGAAAAAGCAATAGCAATCCCCCTGCCCCACCTGCCCTGCAAAACTGTGTAGATGAAAATTACCTGTAGCAAATGATAGTAAGAAGAGAGGGGGAATGAAATGCCCAAGTTTTTATAAATGACACTCACTGAACTACTGCCAGCAAAATTTATTAAAACCCAGAACTGCAGGAGCTAATCCTTTCTGCCACAGCCTCCTGAGAGACACAGTTGTATCCATTTTGGGTGGGACAGTAGGACAGGTTTAAAGCTGTTGCTGGGCCATCAGGAATTCACTGAAATCAACTGTTCATTCTTCCCTCCTTTTTGACACAGTAATTCAATATATTACAATTTTTCTTCTACACCATCCAGGTTAAGGTGGATGTCTCAGGTTTTTGTTAGAATTTCCCAACCCCTGCAAATGACACCTCAAAATAAACAACGAAAGACCAAACCTCTAATGTAACTGACAATCAGATCTTCCTGTACTTAGTGATGTCTGTATCTGGCCCAATTTAATTCATAATGATGTTGTGATCATTTACTGTTGTCCATAACAAAAACTGAATACAAGTATCATGATAACATTAACAAAGAAAAATTATCAAGTCACATTCTAGACTTAAGAGGACAAATACTTTGTACAAACCTGGAACAAAAAGAGTATTGGATGGGCATGACAGGAAGCAGCTCTCTATGCCTCCTGTTTTACTACACACTAGCTGAGCCTTGGGAGCTGGTTTGGCATTTGGGAGACATTTCACCATCTCTGAGGAGAAAAAATTAAAGAGAAATGTAAAAAAATCAGACACTGCCCAATGCAGAACCTTGTGCTAACACATACAATGGTGAGGAAAGGTAGAAGTGGCAAAAAAGCAAAATGACAGGTGCAGGCATTTCTGAAATAAGCACAGATTAGGGAGAGAGGATCTGGATTTGGATCTTGAGCTTGTAATTGAAAACAGAACTCCTTCACATTTTTAGACTTCAGCTCTAGATCAGTCTTTTCCTCCTATGGTCCACTGTGGGACTACACAAACTTGGGTCCAGATCTCATTCTGGAAGGCATGTGTTTCTGTGAGCACAATTCTTAGAAGCAACAGGTAATACTAATGACCAGAGATGTCCTCTCCCCTCTTTTGGAGGCACAGCTCTCTGGTTTAACAGGCCAACTACCCACTAGCACAGGATTCACCCCCTCAAAGACCTGTTTATTTACATGACCACTAAAATTGTATTTCCCATTTCTCTAACTCTCACAGACCTTCAAACTTCAGCTCCATGCTCTAGCTTCTGAAACTAGAAAACTTCCCAGCGAGGCAGAAGTGAGGCAGGAGATTCTGGGATGAAGATGGATAGTCCCAGCTGTCCTTCCAGCTGCTGCTGACATGTCCCAAGCAATGCTAGAAGGGACACTGTGACACAGAGGGAGATCAGCCATTTCTCATCAGTGCCCACTGCACGAGGCGTGTGAAGGAAGCATCCAGCTTCTCCTGCTCTCTTCACAGCACAATGAAGACAGAGAATCCTGCAGGTCTTACAAGCTACTTTGGTAGCTTTGGGTAAGGGACTGTTTGTGTTTTAGCTGAAAACACATTAAGTTATTATGAATGGTTGGAGTAGTCTCTTTGCTTTGCCCTGGGATGATGGTATGACAGTGCTAATCATAAACCTACATTTACTTTAATTTGACGTCTTTTTGGACTGAACTATTACTTAATCACATCTTTTTTTCACACAAACGACAAGGTTCATTCTTGGCTGCAGCTGGCAGGTGCCACAGGTGCCACCTGCAGTGAGGCAGCCTCATGGCTTCCCTCCTTTTCCACCAGAGGTTTCACCTCTGCACCGACTGCTCACCAAGTGCAGCTGGGCACATCTTCCAGCAGCTATTTCACAGTGCATCAGCTGGTTAAATCTCAGCAAGGTGTCTGTAGAGCATTTCTTGCTTTAGCCTCATAAAAATGGTATTTCAGGTACATGATTTTGCTCTGATTGTTTCTTGCTATTTCTTCCAAATGTGTTCATCCTACAAAATAGACTTGGCTGACTCTTGTTTTGCTTATGGCTGACTGTGCTACTACAAATATCATTTTTCCTACCTGTCAGCTCACCGTTGAACCACACTAAGGTAGGAGTTGCTTCTGAGATCAGAGGTGCAGTAGGCAGACTGGTTGGGGTCTCCCAGGGTTTGGGAAAAGCTCAGTAAAGCTGGCATGAAACAGAGCAATTCAAATGTGGTAGCTGGAATGAGTATTGCCTGGCTTGGCATGAGTGCAGAGGAAGGGTCCCAGCAGCCACCAGCTGCTTCGTGTTCCTGGCCTCACTGCTCGTTAAATATAAATATATACAAGTCCCATAAACATGCCTGATGTTCACATCTCAAATATGGGAATAATCATCCTCCACTTATCTCCCTCCTAAAGTCTTTTATGTTGCTTTGGCGATGTCTTTAAAGAAACCTTTTTTTGGACTGAGGAGACAGCAAAGCACACAGGATCATTGCTGAGCAAAAGAGGATTTTCTTACGACAAATGTGTCCAAATCATGTGGCATTCAGGATCACTAAATATAATTTTCCTGCTTTTTATGGGGTTTTATAAGAGTGTAGAATGTAGTTTCCTCTCAACAATGTTGGTAGTAAAGACACTCATTTTGAGCCTCATTAAAGCCATCAAATACAACTGTGTGTATCAATAGAGAAGGGTGTTCTATTTTCCATCTTCCAGCTGAGTATTTAGAAATAATGAGGAGAAATTTAAAACCAGGAAAATATTTTCAATACCTCTTACCATAGGAACAGCATTCTTAGTAGGCTGAGAGGGAATACAGCTCAAAACTTCTGTAGTCTAACTTTGTACTAGACTTCAAAAAACTTTAGTCCCTGCTGTTAATTTAAACTCCTTTCCAGAGGACTAGCTGGTAGATTGCAAGGGAGACCTAGTGGATAACTGAAAACCAGAATTAACTATTTCTTGTTGTTAGTATACTTAGCTCTCTACATAGCAGGGAAGGCAGTTTACATAAAGGTAAGCAGGAAAGTGAAGTACTTCACTGTGGTTAAGAAGAACATCAGTGGCAAAGGCTGAAACCCAACCTGAAGTATTCACCCACCAACCCACTCTACTTTGGTCATAAAGTAATTTCCATACTGCTGTATCCATGCAAGTGAAAAAATGCCACAATTGCATGATCACACAAGAGGCCAGTGCAGTGCTCTCTACTCCAGACTAGAGTGCTTTCCCTCAGGATGTGCAGAGATTCCTGAAGTAAGGTCCCCCCTTTCTTGTTCTGCCTTGCTCCCAGTTAGATATTAGGCATCAACCCCAAAAATATCCATGACAAGTTAACTCTGGTTAAAAAAACCCTAAAACCAGAATAGCAAACACAAACCTCAGAACCTAAATCTGGCTACAAAAGACCTAAGGTAAGCCATTCCCATTAAAAACATGAAAGCAGAATTAAAATCTTACAGAAAATACTTTGAATGGCTGTAGCCATGACCAACATGTGTTGTGTTCCAAAGAAGACCCCAGGAAAAAAAAATCTATTTAAAGGATACAGAAATTCAGATCTGCCACAAAGTGGCACTAGCAGCAAGCACCATAATTTTAGTGGTCTCTGGATTTTGTGCTCACTGTGATTAACACTTTTGACACAGCTAGTGACAGTACTTTCTGTTAAGCAGGATACTTTCAGAGGTAACTTGCAAAATTTTAGTGTGGTGCTGTGAGTGTTGATATTAACCTGAATACAATGTTCCACTTGAAAGCAGTTAAATATTTTTAATATTCTAAATTAGTCTTAAAAGGAAGTAGGGTTATAGCTGAGGTTATAGAGATGGAAAAAGGACAAAGTATGGAAAAAAGTATAAAAAAAGGATAAAAGTATAAAAAGAAAGTATCTTACATAAGATAATGATATTTACATAAGATAATGATACTGCTAATACTTAGATTTCTGTGAATGGACTTGTAAACTTTAAAAAAAAATTCCACACAAATAAAATCCAACATATTGCCCATTCTCTAATCCACCTGCAGTTGTATCCTAGCTCATGGACTCCCATAGGATCAGGTGTTATCTGAGTTTATGAAATTACTTTAGGGATCTCTATTGGGAAAACAACACCTCTCAGACAGAACCACGTGCTTTTCTGCCCTCCTGGAGAACAGGAGCATCACCACAGTCACTTCTGAGTGACTTACCACACAGCTTACAGCTTCCACACTTACCAACACAGTCCTTTTTATTCCAGTGCAGTTTCTTTCCAGGTGGACAGACACACTCATAGCTCCCCATGGTATTAAGACACCCATAGTCACAGCTACCATTGCTGATGCTGCATTCGTCAATGTCTGAGGATGTAATTAAAGTTGCAAAGAGTGTTAGCCATATGTACACACCTATTCTGAGCATGAACATATGCCATAAGCACATCTCTTTCCACTGTATCTTTCATATTTGAGTATCTATAAACATGTATAAAGGCAGATAATACTCATGCCAAACAACTTGAGTGCATATTGCATGTATTTGTCCTTAGACACATGTGTAGCTCTTACTCTTTCAAGAATATATGCATAAGATACAATTTATGTGCCAGGACTAGTTGCACTTAGATTCTTGGAAGTACTCACAAGACACAAAACATGCTCCAAAGTCTCTGCAGCATCTGGACAATAATGCATATTGCATTCTACAGAAAAATGTCAAAGGCATAAACATCTGTGAGATGAGATCACTTCTGCATAAGAGGGAGATAAATTCTCCGTAGTGATTCCCTGAGTTTGCTTTTAGGAATGACTCAGATGAAGGAGAAAATGATGGCATTGGATAGAAACATAGCAGCTGAAGTGTAGTTTAGACTTCTACTCCTTGAATAAAATACAAGGTAAAAGCTTGCAAGGACAAAAGGCACAAACGTGGGCCCAGATGTATTAGCCAAGTCTTCCTCTGGCATCTTGGGACCCTCAATGGAAACATGGGAGTATTTACCAGGGCAGCTGCTGGAATCCAGAAACTGCTTTCTTTTTCTGATGTAAGATTTCAGCCTGTGTGGTTTAGCAAAATCTAGAAAACATGGACTATATGCATAAAAGAAACTGAGAAAGGCATCCTCGTACAACAGGAATGTTTCTAGACAATGTTATGATTTTTGGGCCAGAGTCAAGGACTTCTGGAGGTCCTGGGTCAGCAGTTCCATAAACTGACAAGGGGAAGTCCCAGAAAAAAAGTTTTTCTGGGAAATTTTGTACATAGGCCTACCCTGAGCGGGATCTACTTGTGAATGCATACTTTGAAACATAAACTTAGTGCACAGTGCTCCTGCCACTGAGCTCTGGCCAAACTCTTCAAACCTAAGCTCCTGCTGTCAAGTACCTCACCCAGAACCAAGCTCCTGAGGAAGAGCCAAATTCCCAAAGGCATTGAATACTCCTGCACTGACTTTTCTAAGGTCACTTAACAAGCCAATACATACTGCAAGTGGGGCACAAGCATTGTCCTTCTAAAAGATCCCCTTATGACACATGACTTCTGCTACAGGAATTTGCCATGAAAAGAATCCCAGAGAGAGCAACAAGAATTACCCTTCAGCATGAAAGGCCCAGAACAAGGACACTGCCATGTGGTTTATTAATTACTAGTAGAGAGGAAGCAAGACAGAGAGGAAGCTTAGCAAGAGGAGAGCTTGCACCACAGCCTTTTGAAGGTTCTCATTATTTCTCCCTAGTTTTGACTTCTGCTCAGTGCCCCGTGGACGGCAGCCAGGGAAAGTTATTTGTTCCACTGTAAACATCACTCTCCAGGGGCTGACTAAAACTAATGATAGGCCTGAGCAGCAAAGCTCAGGGCCTGGACAAGTCTTTCGCTAAATTATTACATGAAGCCATTAAGGAACTAACAGTGAAATTAAAGATCACTCTCTCCACAACTCACAGAGCATAGGTCCCCAAAACTTTCAGACTCTGATTTTGCTTTCAGAACTGCCCTCAAGTGGAGTTTTTTCCCAAACACTTAGGTGGACTCCTATTTTTCTTCCTGCCTGATACTATACAGTGAATTCATTAGTTACTTACCCCAGTCTATACAAGAAATACCAGCATACACCTCCTACACCTTTCTCCCAAAAAAGAAGCCAGGCAGAGATGCCATGAGCAGTGTCTCATGCCAACACTACAAAGTCAGCTGAACTCAGCACTCGGAAGTTAGGGACCAGCACCTGTTTCTGTTGCATCAGTTCCCGTGGCACAAATGGAATCACATGGGAACAGAAACAATGTGAGCCTTTTACTGTATCTTTTTGGCTCACTCCGTGGTGTAATTTACTTCAGGATACAAGGAGCATAAATCTTGCACATGATATGTCCCACAATGCCTCCAGCATAAATGAAGAGCCATTAGGCTCAACATGTTCACAACAATTCCTCTAGAATGCTTTCCCTGGACTAAACCTGAGTCAGGTCAGATCCTGCTCTCAATACACAGCTTTTCTGGATTTAACATCAGTCAGGGCTTTCTTAATACCATGATGCAAGCTTTACTTAGATTGTATGTTGAATAATTTGAATAATTAACTAATTATCTATTAACCCTTGTTAAACTAAACTATTTAGTTTTACATTTAAAAATAGCATGGAGAACATTTTTTGCATCAGTATTTTCAAGTGTCATTTAGATTCAGGGCTTCCAGGTTTTATTGTAGTTTTCTCTTTTCATGTTTGTTTGTGTAATGTTGACATGATTAGTCAAAAGCACAATTTGGACTTGATACACTTAACAAATGCCCCCCTGCCAAAACCCTTTGGTGTCCTTTGACCAGAGTTTTGAACACAATCAAAATCTACCACACTTACTAAACATTCAGGCAGGAGATCACAGGTGTTAGCCAGGCTGGGGCAGGCAGTCTCATGCTGTGATACCCCTGGCAAAGATTGGACTTCATTTGAGTGGCCTGAAATTCTCCTGCCTTGATCAAGTGGAAGTTGAACCTCTAATTTGGGCAGTGTGGTAATACTGCCCTACGATGCACTTTAAAAATATCTCTCTCCTGGATAATCGAACGTTACAGCACCAATTCTTTCTACTTATGCCAGAAAGGTTGAAAATAGCTCCCCAGAAGATGGGAGGAAGGTCACCAGAGCCTTCCATTATGAATTTCATAGGCAGTTTATGTCACAGACTGGTAAGGGCAAATACCAATAGAGCCAAAATATGTAAACTTTGCAAAACTGCCATCCTTCTCCTATTGTCTGGCCCATCATTTGAAGCCTCTTTTCTGTAAAAACAACTGTGGTGTCACCTCACTCCTGTGGAAGTGTCGACTGGTACTCTGTTCTTGTGACCTCTCTGATGAAGCCCAGCCACGAGGTTGCTTTGCAGTGGTGGTGGAAGAATTGCTGCATCCATGCAGCAGTGGATGCAAGAGGCACAGCTGCAGCTTTCTCATCTACACTGAGGCTGTTAGGTACCACCATCAAAAAATGATGGGACATTGTTTCTCATTGGTCCTTTTCTCCTGGGAATGCTTCAGCAAATTTGAGATGCTGAAATTTTAGTCATACCCAGCTCATGCTGTTTGAACTTTATTTTAACTTGAGTGCTTTATCATCTTCAGTCTAAAACCTTCAACTAAAGGAATGTGCAGCTCAGTAAACAGTTCACAAAGCAAACAAACACACACATAAGTGAAACTCAGTTTCCAAACCTCCACAGTGTGTCAGTCCATACAAGGTGTAGCCTTTATGGCAGAGACACTCAAAGCTTCCAGGGTAGTTGATACAGGTGTGATCACAGGTCCGTTCAAAGGAACACTCATCTATATCTGAATGAATAGAAAAAACATTAAGAAATTAGACTTTGGTTAAAGTGAATGGCTGGAATTTCACTTTCAGTTGCAACATCTTGTTACTGATAAAGTATCAGGTACCATCCCAGGTAAAATCAGAATAAAATATAATTTTCATTCCTCTAGTGGAATAAAGAGAATACCTACAGGTACATGAAGAAAGGCAATAAAAGGTAATTTGAGAAAAGAAATGAAGACTGTATTGTGTATGTTCACCATTAGATGGCAACATGTAACTTCTGATCATGCTGACCCAGCAGGGCTGAGAGAGTACTGAGGTTTGGGGGGCTGAGTGGCACAATGAAAAGAAGTTTTGAGTTGAATCAAGTCATTCCCTCGTTCACTGACCATTCCTCTGACATCCTGCCCACCAGGACAGAGAGTCATTCCCAGATTTCTGCTCTGCTTACACACAGGACTGTACAGACTTGCAGAGCTACAACAGGGTAAGCAAAGCACCAGGAATGGACAGACTGCACCTAAGACACAGGAAAGCTTAGTCCAAAGTCCATTCTAACTAATTCAAGAAAATATGACCTCTTCCCCTTAAATAAAAGTCAGGTATCTCTAATTATCACTGCTCACTAATGTGAAACCCTTATTTGCATAGTCCCTTCCATCCAGCAGGCTCTGAAGAAAGCAGCTAAGAGCACACTCTTTATTCCAAGACAGTAGTTTTGCTGAGCAGAGTGATATAAAGGTTTATTTGACAGCAGTCATGACAGAATGGACTTGCTGAAAACTGTTACATTAAAGGTACCTTAAACAGCAATCTGTGCAAAATAACACTTTTGAGTTAACAATTGTGTTAAAAAAATATCTTCAGTGTTTCACTTTTCTGCTTATGGGTCAGAGAAATTAATACTCTGAAAGTGGTAATCTGAGCAGAGTGATATAAAGGTTTATTTGACAGCAGTCATGACAGAATGGACTTGCTGAAAACTGTTACATTAAAGGTACCTTAAACAGCAATCTGTGCAAAATAACACTTTTGAGTTAACAATTGTGTTAAAAAAATATCTTCAGTGTTTCACTTTTCTGCTTATGGGTCAGAGAAATTAATACTCTGAAAGTGGTAATTGTTTGAGAGTGGTCATTTCAACAAATCTCATTCCTCCAATGTTTCTGAGATACAAATGAATGGAACAGTATTCCTGTAACAGTTTGCACACTTTCTAGAGTTACTTATTAAGAACATAACCTGAGCAACACCATTACAATATGTAAGTTGGATTTTCATATCGTATGCTTGGAAAGCTGTGGGTGTCTGAAAAAACTTGAAAATTCACCATACTTAAGGGTATGGTATCAAATTCCTATATGCAAGTATTATTTACATTGTTTTGATGTTTAATGAAACATTCTAGGTGTCATTCTGCTATTATAAATGCAAGTACTTAACTTCAAGAACTCTAAAACTGAGATTTTCTGTATGTGTACACAAACCCAAAATCAGTGTGAGAGTTTATGCACAAATTTAGAATGTCATAAACAGCTATATTTTATATGATCTCCAATTTTACACGTTTCAAAACACTCACACAAAAGATAATTCACAATGTGGAAAGCAACTGTTCAGGCAAAGGCATAAAATAAAATGAAATAAACATGATGAACAAGAATCTGTACTATCCAGTTTTGTGTGTACATTACGATCACTTGCTATGATCAAGTCACAAAAAAACCGAGAACTAAGATTTTCTCTTTCTTGCATCTATTTAATTTTTAATGCATTTTCCTATGCATTTAAAAATACCATTATTTGAGTTCTGAAAGTAATTTCTTTTTAAGGTTTCTTTTATAGTCTTGGAAATATGCAGCTTTTGAATACACATAAATGGCAAACTGTTTCAGTTTTCTCTAAATAAATACATAAAGTAAAATCATTTGGGAATGAACACTGCAGTTATAGTTTTAAAGGATTTTGAATGCATAAGAAGCCAAATCATACATCATGGTTTCATTCATGTGTAACCTCGTTTGCTGTAAGGCATTGCAGGAAATTTACAAAAGCAGTTCATTTTCTGGCCTCTGAGTTACCTTGGAAGTCTCTTTCTCAAAATCAATTTCATATTTCTCAACAGTGATCTTATCCTGTTTAGTCAATGGGTTTATGCGTTGCTTTCACACACAGCACTTTGTGTTGTTGCATATTATGGCTTAGGCCATATTTTTCTTCCCATTAAGAAGGATACATATCCCTCTTTGCCTGTGGAAACAACAGTCTGCCTAATAACATGACCAGTCATCTGCTTGCCAAGTAACAGGCACTCAGGATGGACAAATGCATTTCTATTACACAAAATATCAGCTACTCATAAACTTATATTGCTTACACTGGCTGGCAGCGATGCTGGAACAAACACTTATATTGCAATGCAAAGATGGCTATTAAAAGCTTTTTCACCATTTAAACCCCTCATCCCACCTCCTGCTGCTGTTCTCATAAATTCAACCTCTGCTGAATTCAGCGTCTTGCTCTGGCTGACCAAACGTGGAAAACCTCCACGCAGATTCTCCCTTGCTGACCACCCAACCCCTTGGCCCCTCTCCTCCTGGCCCGTGGCAGGCAGGGCCAGGCACTGCCCCAGGGACACAGCCTTCTGCAGAGCCCTCTGCACAATCACCAGTCCCCTGAGGAATTCAGCACTGGTCATAGAAAAGGGAAAAATATGCACCACATACTCTTCACTACAACAAACTGGTGGTGTGATAGAGGATGCTGAAATCCTCTCTTTGGGTTTATTTTTTTTAAAACTCCAAAGTCTGTGCTCTGGATGTTGTTGTCCCCTGGCTCCCAGAAACTTTCAAGTTAGCCCTCACACCTGTGTAGTGCTCCACAATACTTCTCTACATTCAGCCTGAAAGGATGTGCTTATTTGCCACCACCCTCATGACACAGGTATATCACATAAGAGACCAAGGAGCTGGGAATTAGACCTTCTCAGCCCTGGGTTTCAAATCCTGCTGACCACAACAACTGGAAACAAACGTGGGTATCTAAATCCTGTCCCTTTGTACAAACAATACTACAAAAATCTGGTACTTCATCCACTGAAGAGGAGTCCAAAAATACAAAAGCAAAGGTATGGCAGGTTACAACCAGAGTACTGAGAACAAGTAACTCCTCTTTCAGTCTTGTGGTCAAATCATACCCCACCCCCAACACATATACACACAAACATTTTTCATTTTTGCATTGTGTTGCTCTGAATTTCCCTCCCCACACACTGAAATAAATACTAAGCAATTACCTTTTTGGGTCTGAGGTGCTCTTTAAATGATTTAAAGTTATTTAAATGATTTAAAGTTATTTAAATTAAGTTTTTGAACTCTTTTAACATGAAAAGTCAAAAAGTTGGCTTTCTGAGGAACTGTGGTTGAAAACTTCAACTTGAGGTTGAAGTTTGTATTCTATTTTTAATTGAATTTGGCATAAATTCACAAAGAGTCCAAGCTGTCCCAGAATTGTTAATGCACTTATTTGACATCAAACACATTCCTTTTACTTTCACTTAGTCAAAAATTCATATTACATTCACTACTGAAATCAGCACAGGTGACTCTGCCATTTCAGCACATTAGGAGATGTCTTCACAGCTTAGCTGTTTGAAGCTTACAGGAACTATGGGGTAAATTCATTGCTGGTAGTACCCAATTAGTTTCCTGGCAGCTTTTCTTAGGATTACTACCAGTACATATAAAATCTAAGACAAGGACCTCCCTACTTCCCAGATGACCCAGTGGAAGTGCCAAGTTGTGGGGCTGGAGCAGATGATCTCCTAAGGTCCCTTCCAAGCTCCACAATGGATTCATGGACACACTGGTGTCCTGTGCTGCTGACAGCTCTCCTTCCAGTCCTGCTTCCATGACATCAGGGCATCAGCTCAGCCTGAACAAAGTCCAACACCTCTTATATCAATCCATGTTCTCATCTCCAAAGAGAATGTTTGAACAGTGGAACACTATTTTTGCCTAGAAGGGATTCAACTTGAAGAGACTGTTCAATTGTTTAATACAAGAACAGGATTTCCCTGGGTTTTTGAGGGAAGCAATTGTTGCCAGTGTTGGCCATGCTTGATAATATCAGTTTGGCTCTGTTCCTACTATTTCAAGTCAGCATTTGGATTTTATTGTTGATTTTTCAACCATGCTAGCTTTTTTTTTTTTTTTTAAGTTCATACTTTCACATGTTAAATGATCCTATAATGATCTTTATTTTCCTTGAAAGTAAAGTTTGTTAGTGAGTGTCAGATTGACAGTACTGGAAAGTAAAGCCTTCCATCTATCTCCAGAAGGGAGCTACCACAGATCAAATTTCTTCTAAGTTTCCTCACACGGATGTGTCTCAAAGGTGACCTGAGGAAGCAGGGAATAAAGCAGCTTATTTTCCATGCTCATTCAAGTCCCTGCCCTTTCCACTGGTGCTGCCACTAGACTCTCAATTACAGTAGCACCAATTGTTCTGGTGGTTTGTGTGATGTGGACACTGACTCATTTGTGGACATAGAGTGCAGGGCACCAAGAAGTCATCACACAGTAATGATTTTTGCTAGGTCTGAAACTGAGCTGGATTCCTACCAGTAGCTCTGAAGTCAAAGGCTCCTTTCTGTAACTGTTTCCAGCCCTCAAACGCAGTACCCTGTGTTCTTGATTGTCATTGCTTTCTTCTCTAAAATAAAGTTCCAGAGTAATTAAAAGAACCAATGATCAGGAGATGAAAGTGTAATGGGGGACATTTACAAAAAACATTAGCATTACAAGCAAACAGCTCCAAACATATACAGGTGAGGCTGGTAAATAATGCTGGAGTCAGAGATGTTTTGAGAACTGTAAACTGATGTAGAAACTGCTGTGACTCCCTGACAGAATGTATACATGCAAAGCTCACTCACATCAAGGCACACGTGTGATTGGGGGGTTAGGGTGATAGAACTGAACAATTCCATGCCCAATTTTCCCAATTTTACATCAAA